CTCCTGAGAGCCCCGCCGCCGCCTCTCCTGCCTCTGCCGCTCTGCCTGCCTCTGCCGGCTTCTGCCCGGCCCCCGGCCCCGGCGGGCCTCCCTGAGCCCCGGCACCCGGCACCGGCTGACGGCGGGGCGGACTCCCAGAGCGAGGCCCGGCGTCGGGCTGTCCGTCTCCCGCGGCCGCAGCCCCCGTTTCCCGAAAGGGAAACTTCCCACGAGGAAGTCGGCGCTGCCCGAGCGCGCGCGGCCCGAGGCGGCGCCTGGCCACGGCCGTTTGACGCTCGCGGTTTCCCACGGGCGGCGCGTGCGTCTCCGTGCGATCCCACGCCCTGCCCGAGACGGTGCTCGGCCGAGAAGCCCCCGCCGCGGGCCCGCGCTGGTGACGGCGCCGCGGGCTGCGGGTCCCGGGCTCGGGGGCAGCTGGCGAGGAGGAGGCGCAGCCACACGCACCTGTGGAAGGGGTTTCGCTGCCGCCCGCGCTGCGGATCCGGTTCGGCTGTGTCCCCACCCACGTGTGGAGGGAGGGCCTGGAGGGAGGCGATTGGATCTTGGGGTCAGTTTCCCCCAGGCTGTTCTCAGGATAGCGAGTGCTCAGGAGCGCCCGTGGCTGAAAGGTGGCGGGTTCCCCTTCTTCCTCTCTCCGTCTCTGTCTCTCTCCTGACGCCATGTCAGACCTGGGAACCAGGACTAACAGATTTCGCCTTCTGCCGTGATTGTAGTTTTCCAGAGGGCTCCCCAGCCATGATCTCAGCTCACTGCAGCTTCCACCTCCCAGGTTCAAGCGATTCTCCCAGCCTGCCGAGTATCTGGGATTGCAGGCAGCCACCACCACACCCAGCCAATTTTTGTAGTAGAGATAGGGTTTCACCATGTTACCCAGGCTGGTCTGGAACTGACCTCGGGTGATCCACCCGCCTCAGCCTCTCAAAGTACTGGGATTACGGGCGTGAGCCACCGCGCCCAACCAGATAGTGTCTTAATAGCAGCCTGAGATCGGACAAATGCTTGACGACCCTGGGATAAATCCTCTTGTTGTCCACACTTAATGTGTGAGGAAGTGAGGCACAGGGTGTTTAGACTGCCCAGAGCCTGCCAAGGAGCCAGGAGTTTTACCTTTTGCTGCCACATACCCCATCTCCTGGAGAGCAGTGGCCAGAAAAGGCTGTCTCGTGGACTGAGCTGAAGTCTGAGTCATCTGCTCCTTGCCAGCTGCTGGAGGAGCGCGCATTCTGGCCTGGGGCGGTCAGGAACTCCTGTACCCCTGCCCACCTCCTCTAGTTGCTGACATAGCCACAGCTCCCGAAGATGGCAGGTACTTGACAGATGTCTGCTGAATGAATGTTCTACTGAGGTACAGGGCTCCTCCTAGGAGCCAGGGTCAATTTCATGAGTGCAGAAGTCTGACAAAAGTCATGGTTTATGAAAAACATGTTTTTAGATGAATTATTGCCCTTGTTGCCCAGGCTGGAGGGCAATGGCATGATCTCGGCTCACTGCAACCTCTGCCTCGTGGGTTCGAGTGATTCTCCTGCTTCAGCCTCCTGAGTAGCTGGGATTACAGGCACCTGCCATCACACCCATCTAATTTTTGTATTTTTAGTAGAGACAGGGTTTCACCATGTTGGCCAGGCTGGTCTTAAACTCCTGACCTCAGGTGATCTGTCCACTTCGGCCTCCCAAAGTGCTGGGTTTACAGGTGTGAGCCACCACAACCGGCCAAAACATTTTTTTTTTTTTTTTTTTGAGACGGAGTCTCGCACTGTTGCCCAGGCTGGAGTGCAGTGGTTCGGTCTCAGCTTACTGCAATCTCCGCCTCCTGGATTCAAGTGATTCTCCTGCGTCAGCCTCCCGAGTAGCTGGCACTACAGGCATGCACCACCACACCCAACTAATTTTTTTGTATTTTTAGTAGAGATGGAGCTTCACCATGCTGGCCAGGAGGGTCTCAATCTCCTGACCTCGTGATCTGCCCACCTCAGCCTCCCAAAGTGCTGGGACTACAAGCATGAGCCACTGTGCCTGGCTAAATTTTTTTTTTTTTTTTTGAGATGGAGTCTCACTGTCACTGGGGCTGGAGTGCAGTGGCGTGATCTTGGCTCACTGCAACCTCCCGCTCCCAGGTTCAAGCAGTTGTCCTGCCTCAGCTTCCTGAGTAGCTGGGATCACAGAAGCCCACCATCATACCCAACTAATTTTTTGTATTTTTAGTAGAGATGGGGTTTCACCATGTTGGCTGGGCTGGTCTTGAATGCCTGACCTCAGGTGATCCACCTACCTCAGCCCCCCAAAGTGCTGGGACTAAGGTGTGAGCCACCTGCCCCCACCAGTTTTTTTTAACTAGGGCGTGTGCACATGAAAAACATCTTTGAGGTAGGGAGGGGCAGCTGCATGGGGCAGGGGTGGTAGAGGCATGGCTGGGCCGTGCTGGGGTCCTGGGCTTCACGCTCAGGCCGGCCCCCTGCCCCCAGGATGTGCTCCTTATGACCTGGCACCACAAGACCACCGTCTTCATGGACGCCAGGGAGTCCAGCGCATGTTGGAGCTGAAGCACATTGTCACAGGCATCCTCAAGCGGCTGACAGGCAGCAACTGTACAAGGACAACCAAGTCTCAGGTGACGGCAAGACACCGGGCAAGCGTGGCGTTGCCAGCCAAGCAGCATGGGCACAGGCCCCTGCCACAGTGGGGATGGCCTTCCGGCAGAGGACACCTGTGAGCCCCTGTGGACTCAGAGGGCAGTGCCAGTGAAGAAGTGGTGCCGTGAGGGCACCCAGAGGCCATTCCCCCCAATTAAAGAGATTTGGAAAAAAGGAAAAGAAGAAAAACATCTTTGAAATGCCTGCTCATGCACTTTCTGCAGTTGACCTTGGTGAGAAGTCAAAATCTGCTTCAAGACCTGGGGCTCTATTGGGGCAAACAGTCGGTACAGCTGTTGTCTGTGCCTGTTAGCACACTGACAGTACAGCGATGGCGTGTGCCCGCTAGTGCACTGCCAGTACAACCATGGCCTGTGCCTGCTGGCACACTGTCAGTACAGCTGTTGTGTGTGCCTGCTAGCCTGTGCCCACTGGTGCGCTGAGAGTCAGTACAGCCGACAATCAGTGCCCGTTGTGTGTGCCCACTAGTGTGCGCCAGCTGTGCACAGCTACCGTGCTCCTGGCACTATGCCAGCGGCTTCCACACAGCTGGTCCCTGTGTTCCAGATGAGGACACAGGCTCAGAGAGGGTCTGGCCAGAGTCACAGTGAGTGTGAGGCACTGCAGTGCTCTGAGTCTGACTGGGCCGGTCCTACCCCACCCACATGAGAGGACTCTGGAGGTCCCAGACAGGGGTACTCCTCTTGCTCCCTAGCATCTGTGTGCCAGCACCTGGGGCTGGAGTCTGCCAGAAGGACACTGACTGTCTGCAGCTGCCACTGCAGTGGCCAACAGGGAGGACACGGCTGCATGGTGGTGGGCAGCTCTGTGTGCCTCTGCATTCTTCCTCCTCTTCCCAGGGCTGCGTTCCTAGGAATGGCCCAGGGGCTTGCTCTGTGCGTGTATTAGTTTGATAGAGACCACAAACTCAACAGCTTAAAACAACTCGGTTCTTACCTCCCAGTTTCTAGTATCCCAAGGCTGAAAGCAAGTGGGCTGAGTTCTTGTGTGGAGGCCCTGGAGTCAGACCTGCCTCCAGGCGCATCCTCTTCCGTGGCTGGGGGCAGTTCTCAGATCCTTGCCATGTGGCCCCTCGTCTCAACAACAGAACCTTCTTTGCTTTTACCCTTCCAACTTCTTCAGCCAGTCAGAGGAAACTGCTGTTAAAGTGCTCCTGTGATGGGGTCAGGGCCCACCTGATGACCCTCCTGTCCTAAGTGCCACCTCTGCGCCACATGGTGTCACATTCTCGGGCATCAAATCCACCAGACTCACAGTCCCAGCGACAGCCACTTGCATGCAGGGCCCGGGACTCTCCAGGCCACCCTGGGGTGTGGTGGCCTCGGGAGCCCCAACACATGCTGGAGCTGACACTTGCCCTGGCTTTCCCACTGCTGCGCCAGCCTCATCGCTCTGCAAGTCTCCTGGGGTTTGCCGGAGTTTTACTCCTGGCTCCATGACTCAGTTACTTGTAGGGCAAAGCACTTCTCCCAGCCTGGGCAGCTCCATCCCTGCAATGGAATGACACTCCATTTGTCTATCAGGCTTTCCCTTTGGGGGTTAGGAGGAGAGGGGAAAGCAGGAGAGCTTGTCCCCTACTCACTAAGCACACACAACCCTGGCGCCCCACCTCTCCATCTCCGGGGGACCGTGTCACTGTCTCATCTTACACCTGAGAAACAAAGGCCCAGGTGTTGAGACAGTGCCCTGGCCTTGGCCACAGCAAGTGAACCTCAGAGCCGGGAGGGTGGGAACCCACCCCTGTTTCACAGCAGAGCCTTTGTTCTGGCCTCACCCCTCCACGTTCACTCTTCTCTGCTCAGATCCTACCCATCCCTGGGCCCACGGGAGATGCCCCTTGGAGGCCTCCAGGCTGGCATCCACCCTGTGGCTGTGGCACCCTCTCCGATGGCAGCCACAGACCTAGACCCTGTTGGCACCAGCCCAGAATTGAGGGGCCTGGGTGCAGGGCTCTGCGGCCCCACCCTACGGGTGGGACCTCCCATCCTTCCTGGCCCCTGCCCCACCTGCCCTCTGGAACGGGGGCTCATCTCCACCCGACTCTCAGGCCTCACAAAGCCAAGTTCAGGAAGTAGCTGTCCTGCTGTGAGCAGTTGCAGGGAGGGCGTCTGGTTGCAGTCGGCACCCCCCTTCCCTCCTCCGCCCTTTCCCTCTGAGGGCTGCGGCCCCTTCCCAGCCAGGCGCTGGCTCTTCTGTCTCTTCCTGCCTCCCTCCCTCCTTCCCTCTCCCTCCCTCCTCTTCCCTCTCTCTCTCCTTCCCCCAACTCTCTCTCTCTCTCCCCCCCTCCCTCCTTCCTTCCCCCTCCCTCTCCTCTCTCCCTCCCTCCCTCTCCCTTTCCTCCTCTCTCCCCCGCCGCCGCGCCCGCCTCCCGCCCGCCGTCGCTCCGCCCTCCCCTCCCCGGCACTGCAGCACTCGCCCGCAGCAGCTCCGGCCGCCGCCCGCGCCTCTGCAGCCTCCGCAGGCCCCGCCGCCGCCAGCACCATGGCCAGCACCTTGTCGGGTAGGCGCCGGGGCCGGGGGCTTCCCGGGGCGGCGGGGGCCGAGCGGGGCCTCGTCTGGCTTCCTCCGAGGCCGGGGCCGGCTGCGGACGCCGGTTTCCCTCCTCCAACCCTGCGCAGGACGAGCCTGGGCCCGACCCGCCCGAGATGGGGGCCGCGCGCCCCAAGGCCAAGGGCAGGGGCTGCGGCGCGGGGGGGCGGCGCGGAGGGGCGCGGGGCGCGCTCGGGACCGGGACACCGGGCTTGGGGGCGCCTCGCCCCTTGGGGAGCCGCGTGCCACGCAGGGGGCGCCTGCCGCAGGGTGGCTCCGAGGCCCGGGCGTGGGCTCGTGACCGGGTGGGCGCGCTCGCCGTGTGCGGGCGGAGTCCCTGGGGCGTCGGCGATCCTAGATCTGGGTCTCACGGAGCCTTCGCGGGGAGGCGAAGAGAGGGTGGGACCCTCCGCCAAAGCCGCAGCCGGGACGGGCGCTGCCTGCGCCAGGGGAGCGCAGGGCTGGAGCGGGCGCGGAGGGAGGGGGGCCAGACGCGGAGCCCGGAGCGCGGGGACCGCGCCCGCCCCACACCGCGGCGGCCTCGGGGACCCCTCCCTTCGCGAGGCCCGGGCCCCCTGCTCTGGCCGGAAAAGCCACAGCCCTCTGCGCCGCGGGGCGTGGATGGGGGAGGGGCTGCTCCGTCCCCAAACCCTCCGGGAGGAGAGGGGACCCCCCGCCTTCGAAGGCGGCGCCCACCCCGTCCCTGGCCCGTCCCGCGCGAAGCTCAGCCGGAGGGGCGGGCGCAGAACCGGGGCGGGGCGGGGAGGATACTGGACCCAGGGGAGCTGCCAGCGACCCCGGGTGCGAGGACGCGAGGCCCGCCTCTCCCCGAAACGGTCTGCTGCTCCCAGAGGCCTTAGAACCGCCTTCGTTTCTTTGCTAGGCGTCCAGGAAGACGGGACGAAGGGCCCCCACCTCCTTCCCATCACCGCCTCTGCCCACGAACCGCACCCCCTCCTACCTCTTCTGCCCTGGGACCGGCGGCCGCGGCCGCGCTCCCGCTCCCTAGCTAACTGGTTCTCTCCCCCGAGCCCGACCCGACCCCGCCCCTCAGGCCCCACGGGCTGGGGGCGCCAGGTGACTTCAGCACCTGCCAGGAGGGGACCGTGTGTGTCACTGACCACATCTTCCCACCTGTTTGGGAGTGGTGTCCATCTGTGCTTCCTTCCTCGGCCTCCTCCCGGGCACCCCCAGGGATACTGGGGGCTCTCAGCAGAGGGGACTCCCCTCCTGCCCCTGAGGACAGCTCTGTCCTCTCGGGCTGCCTCCTGTCCTTTCCTGACAGCCTTTCCCTGATGGGGCCTCCCCCTGGGCTGGCTCCTGGGCTGAGCTGGGAAGGCGAGGCAGGTGGCTCGTCTGGCAGGTGGCTCCTCACACTTGCGGGCTCCGCTCACATTCTCCTGAACCCAGAGTCTGACCTTCTTGAGCTGTGTGGTCTTGTCCAAGCTGCATAACCTCTCAGGACCTGGGTCTCCTTATCTGGATGGAGGCGATGGCACCTCCCCTGGGGCTTGTTTTGAGGCTTCAATATTTCAGGAAAGGTGCTTGGCCACTTGCCTGGTAAGAGATGAATGCTCAGTGCCCACCAGGCAGTCTGACTGTGGCAGCCACATTTCTGTGGCTCCTGCCCCAGTAAAGGCTCCTGCCATGCTGGGCTCTTAGCACCATGAGAGGCAGCCTGGGTGACAGTGACTTCCATCTGCCCCCGGGGGAGCCAGCAGCAGCCTCCAGGGGTCAGAGGACATGGTGGTCCCCCTGCCCTCTCAGTTCCGGACAGACTCCCCACCTCCAGGAGCTCTTGACAGGAACTTACAGTCATGCCTAGGCTCATGACCCGGCTCTCATCTGGCATGCTGTGTGATGCTGGGTGGGACACTTGCCCTTTCTGAGCCTCCTTTCATCCTCTGTAGAAGTGAGGCTGATAGGCCAGGTGTTGTGGCTCACACCTGTAATCTCAGCACTTTGAGAGACCAAGGCAGGTGGATCACCTGAATCAAGAGTTCGAGAACAGCCTGGTCAACATGGTGAAACCCCATCTCTACTAAAAATACAAACTTAGCCAGGTGTAGTGGCACATGGCTGTGATCCCAGCTACTTGGGAGACTGAGGCAGGAGAATCACTTGAACCAGGGACACGGAGGTTGCAGTGAGCTGAGATTGTGCCACTGCACTCCACCCTGGGCAACAAGAGTGGAAACTCCTTCTAGAAAAGAAAAAAAAGCCAAGTGTGGTGGCTCATGGCTGTAATCCAAGCACTTTGGAGGCCAAGGCAGGCAGATCACCTGAGGTTGGGAGTTCAAGACCAGCCTGACCAAGATGGTGAAACCCTCTCTTTAAAAAAAAATAAATAAGCCGGGCGCGGTGGCTCAAGCCTGTAATCCCAGCACTTTGGGAGGCCGAGGCGGGTGGATCACAAGGTCAAGAGATAGAGACCATCCTGGTCGACATGGTGAAACCCCGTCTCTACTAAAAATCCAAAAAATTAGCTGGGCATGGTGGCGCGTGCCTGTAATCCCAGCTACTCAGGAGGCTGAGGCAGGAGAATTGCCTGAGCCCAGGAGGCGGAGGTTGCGGTGAGCCAAGATCGCGCCACTGCACTCCAGCCTGGGTAACAAGAGCGAAACTCCGTCTCAAAAAAAAACAAAAACAAAAACAAAAATACAAAAAACAAACTGGGTATGGTGGTGTGCACCTGTAATCCCAGCTACTCTGGAGGCTGAGGCAGGAGTCACTTGAACTGGGGAGGCAGAGGTTGCAGTGAGCTGAAAGGGCACCACTGCACTCCAACCTGGGTTACAGAGCGAGATCCATCTTTAAAAAGGGAGGGGTGGGGAGCAGTGCCTCTAGGCCATGGATGGGGGGACTTCTCTGGCTCCAGCCGTGTCTGTGGAGAGGTGGTCTGGATGTATCTGGGTCTTGGCATCCTCCCTCTGCAACGAGAGGCAGAAGACTTGCTCTTTAAGCCTCACCAGCTCTGAAAATACTGGTCCAATGTCCTGCCTGGCCCCTGGTCAGCCCTGCCCCATGTGCAGGCTTCACCCTGCTTGCTGTCTCTGGCATTGGCCAATTCCTGACCTGCTGTTCTGCCACTTCCAAAGTGCCCTTCCTTCCTGCAGCCAGCCCACAGGACGGGGCCTCCCAGGGGAGGCTCCGTCCTGTGGGCGCCCGGTCGCACTTGCTCCTTGAAGGTCAGTCTCCTGGGGTAGAAGCTCCTCATGGGCCATCAGCTGGGAGAAGCCAAGCCAGGGGGTCTCCATGGCCATCAGATGCTGAGCCATGCCTGTGTTTGCAGCCACAGGACCCAGTTCCTCACCTTTCAGCTGGAGACACCTCACATGTCTCCTGGGCAGAGCCAAGACCCGTGAGAAGTCTGACCTGCGTGCCCACCCCGTCCCTTCTTTCCTGATGATGCAGGTGCTCACACCTGCCCCGAATTGCCGTTTCCTCCTGCTGAGGGGCAGTAGACTGGAAGGGGCTCCCTGGCGTTTGTCCTTCCTCTGTATGAGCCTGCAGCTCTTTTTTTCTGTGAAAAGTTCGGGCTCAAGGTGGACAGGGGTTTTGAGCAACTGTTAATCACGTTTTCTGACCTGTACAGTAAACACATTCAGGGGTTTGTTTTTTGTCTTGTTTTTTTTTTTTTTTTTTTTTTTTTTTTTTTTGGACTCTTGCCCTTTTGCCCAGGCTGGAGTGCAATGGCACAATCTCAGCTCACTGCAACCTCTGCCTCCTGGGTTCAAGTGATTCTCCTGCCTCAGCCACTGGAGTAGCTGGGACGACAGGCACCCGCCACCACACCTGGCTAATTTTTTATTTTTAGCAGACACGGGGTTTTACCATGTTGGCCAGGCTGGTCTCAAACTCGGGACCTCAGGTGATCCACCTGCCTCGGCCTCCCAAAGTGCTGGGATTACAGGCCTGAGCCACCGCCTGTAATTTCTGATGTGTGATGAGGAAGGACAATCTGGATGCTGGGGGCCTGCAGTCTGTGACAGGGATCTGGGTGCCAGCAGGTTAGGTCTGCAGGGGCCACGTCCCTGCTTTCCTGTCCTCTCTCAGGACCTAGATGTGTTCTGCCCCAACCCCAACTCCCTCTTGCTCTCTCCCTCCCCCGCCCTCCTGAGCACAGGGCTGGCCACCTCCTCAGCTCCTACAAATGTCCCCCATGTCTCCTGATCTGCTGCTGTGGACCAGGTGACTGGCACACCCTCTAACCCCACATCACATGTCCTGGGATATACCCTTCTTCCTCCTTTTTAAAATTAAATTTTAATAGGCTGGGCACTGTGGCTTACACCTATAATTCTGATGCTTTGAGAGGCTGAGATGGGAGGATCCCTTGAGGCCAGGAGTTCAAGACTAGCCTGGGCAACAGAGCGAGACCATATCACTACAAAGTATTTAAAAAAAAAAAAGAAGAAGCTGGTGTGGTGGTGTGCACCCGTAATCCCAGCTACTGAGGTGGGAGGATTACTTGAGCCCAGAAGTTCGAGGCTGCAGTGAACTACGGCTGCACCACTGTACTCCGGCATGGGCAACAGAGCACAATCCTGTCTCTAAAAAATAAAATAGGCCGGGCGTGGTGGCTCACACCTGTAATCCCAGCACTTTTGGAGGCCGAGCTGGATGGATCACCTGAGGTCAGGAGTTTAAGACTAGCCTGGCCTACATGATGAAACCCTGTCTCTACAAAAATACAAAAATTAGCCAGGCATGACGGTGTGTGCCTGTAATCCCAGTACTCAGGAGGCTGAGGTGGGAGAATCGCTTGAACCTGGGAGGCGGAGTTTGCAGTGAGTTGAGATCGTGCCATTGCACTCCAGCCTGGGCAACAGAGAGATCCTCCGTCTCAATAATAATAATTAATAATAATGAAAAATAAGATAGGCTGGGTGTGGTGGCTTACACCTATAATCCCAGCACTTTGGGAGGCCAGGAGATCAAGACTATCCCGGCCAACATAGTGAAAACCCGTCTCTACCAAAAATACATAAATTAGCCAGGTGTGGTGATGGCACCTGTAGTCCCAGTTGCTCGGGAGGCTGAGGCAGGAGAATCGCTTGAACCTGGAAGGCAGAGGTTGCAGTGAGCCGAGATTGTGCCACTGCTCTCCAGCCTGGCGACAGACTGAGACTCCATCTCAAAATAAAATAAAATAAAATTAGTAGAATTAGCTTTTAATAACACAAAAAATATATGAACGGATTTTGCACGTGAAAAAATAAAATCTGACAAGTCAGGTCAAAGTCCCTTGTGAGGCTCCCCTACCTGCTCCCCTCCCCGCACCCAAGACAATAACCAAGACAGGTGGTTTGTCTGGCTTCTCAGCTCAAAGGCTCTGTCCTTCCCCCAAAGGCTCTCGGGTGGGCCTGCCCACCTTGGGATTCCTTTCTGCTCCTTCTTGCACCCTCTTGGGCTTTGTGCTGCTCTGTCTAGAAAAGTATAGGTCACTAGGAAATTTAGGTCAGGACAGGCCATTATCTGCACTGGTTACAGGAAGACCCAGCTCACTGTGAAAGGCTAGATTATGTCTGCCCTGTATCCTGTTTTGTTTTTTTGAGACACGGTGTTTTTCTCTTGTTGCCCAGGCTGGAGTGCAATGGCGCAATCTGACCTCACTACAACCTCCACTTACTAGGTTAAAGCAATTCTGCTGCCTCAGCCTCCTGAGTAGCTGGGATTACAGGCATGCGCCACCACACCTGGCTAATTTTGTATTTTCAGTAGTGACAGGGTTTCTCCATGTTGGTCAGGCTAGTCTTGAATGCTCAACCTCAGGTGATCCACCTGCCTTGGCCTCCCAAAATGCTGGGATTACAGGCCTGAGCCACCTCGCCCAGCCGCTTTGTTCTGTTTCTCTCTCTCTCTTTTTTTTAATGATGGGGTTTCACCATTATGGCCAGGCTGGTCTTGAACTCCTGACCTCAGGTGATCCATCCACCTCAGCCTCCCAAAGTGCTAGGATTACAGGTGCGAGCCACTGCTCCCGGCCCGTTCTGTTTCTCTAACACCAATGGTTTTCTCAGTTTTATGGCAACTCCATTTAAAACATTGTAATGGGTGAGACTTAATCAAAAAGCTTCTTGTCCACATTCCTGTCTGCTCCCTTGCAGGATGTGTGTGGGCAGCTGTGCTGCCTTTTCCTTCAGGGAAGCTGGACTCCCTCTCCTGGACCCACACCTGCTTCTGAGGCCAGGGAGTCAGGGGCATGGGCCTCAGAGCCTCCTCATCTTTGGGATCTGCTGCAGTGGTGGGAAGAACACAGACCACCGGGGATTGCACTTTGAGGACTGCCAGCTGTGTCACCCCAATACCCCGGGCTCCAGGGTTGTTCCTGGTGAATGGGGTGACTGTATTGGACTCAGAGGATTTTTTCTTTTTTGAGATGAAGTTTCACTCTTGTTGTCCAGGCTGGAGTGCAATGGCGAGATCTCAGCTCACCGCAACCTCCGCCTCCTGGGTTCAAGCAATTCTCCTGCCTCAGCCTCCTGAGTAGCTGAGACTATAGGCACGAGCCACTACGCCCAGCTAATTATTGTATTTTTAGTAGAGACGGGATTTCACTATGTTGGCCAGGATGGTCTCCATCTATTGACCTCATGATCCGCCCGTCTTGGCCTCCCAAAGTGCTGGGATTACAGGTGTGAGCCAGCGTGCCCAGCCCAGATTTTTCTTTTTTTTTTTTTAAGACAGAGTCTCACTTTGTCATGCAGGCTGGGGTGCAGTGGCACTATCTCGGCTCACTGCAACCTCCACCTCCTGGGTTCAATAGATTCTCCTGCCTCAGCCTCCCAAGTAGCTGGGATTATAGGTGGACACTACATGCCTGGATAATTTTTGTATTTTTAGTAGAGATGGGATTTCATCATGTTGGCCAGGCTCATCCCGAGCTCCTGACCTCGGCCTCCCAAAGTGCTGGGCTGGCAGGCATGAGCCACCAGCCCAGCCGAGAGGCTTGCTGAGCACTAGTGAGAAAGTGGGCCAGTGTGTCTGCTTAGCAGTGAGGCACGCTCTGAATAGCCCGAAAGAGATAAATTATTTTCACTGTGAGAGGAGGCGCCACCTTCCCCTTGCCCTGACAGGGCGCAGGGCCACAGGAGCCCAGCTTACTTCTGGTTTTGGTTGGGCAGCAGGCACACTGGCTGGTGGGCACTTGATTGACCTGTGGTGCTGAACGGACAGCTCCCTTTGCTCTTGGTGGCATCAGTGGCCCAAGCCCAGCCCTAGATGGGCAGAGAGCATGTGCCTGGTGAGGGCCTAGTTTCATCTCAGGGTGGTCACACGATCATCAGGAAGGAGAAAGGAGGGTCTGAGGGCTTCTTCCAGGTTTACAGTCCAAGAAAGTGCCGCCCACAGATGGTCTGCATCTGTGCTGGTCCCGTCAGGAGCCCATGTTGTCTGCCTGAGCTGGTGAGGGCACGGGAAGCAGGAGGAGGGGAGAGGGAAATAGCGGGGCAGAGGGAGCTAAGGGTCAGAGAAACACACAGTGGCATGGAATCGAAGAAAGACGTGCTCAGAGAGAAAGACACAGTGACAAGGAATTGCACGAGCTCAGAGACAAAGACAGAGTCAGTGTCTATCCCCGGAGACACAGAGAAATACAAAGACAGTGACAGAGTCAGACAGACAGAAGGTAAACAGACCCAGACAGAGGCAGCGACGTTGTCAGATTGGGTGGGTACCTGAGACTGAGTGGTTTGTCGGCGGCAGGAACTTGTCTCCTACAGCTCTGGAGGCCAGGAAGTACAGGATCAAGGTGCCAGCAGATTCGGTGCCTGGAGAGGTCTTGCCTCCTGGTACCTAGGCGGCATCTTCTGGCTGTGTCCTCATGTGATGGGAGGGTGATGGAGGTCTCTGGGGTCTCTCTGGGGCCACTCAGGAGGGCTGTACCCTCATGACCTAACTCCCTCCCAATGCCCCACCTCTTCATACCGGCACCTTGGGGTTAGGATTTCAACATATGAATTTTTCGGAACGCAAACATCTGATCACAGCAGGCAGGGAGAAAGACAGAGGAACAAGTCAGTGTGGAAGACGAGACAGACATTAATAACAAGAGAGAGGAAACGGGGGCAGAAGCAGAGGGCAGGGTACACCACTGAGACAGAGCCAGCGCCTCTGGGCGAGAGTGGGAGGAGGGACGAAGGGGCCGCGGCGTGGAGACACACGAGAGCGTGCTGGGCTGGCCTGTGTCTCAGGCAGCCAGAGGCAGCCGTGGGGAGGGAAAACGTGAGCCCAGGTGGGCAAGCCTCAGCGGCGCTTGCTCAGCCCAGCCTCGTGCCCACAGCCTACAAGGAGAAGATGAAGGAGCTGTCGGTGCTGTCTCTCATCTGCTCCTGCTTCTACACACAGCCGCACCCCAACACCGTCTACCAGTATGGGGGTGAGTGCCCGGCTGCCGCCCGCCCTGCCCTGCGGTGCCTGCCCACCTGGACTTTTCCCCTACCTCCCTCGGTGCCCGAACTCCCGGCCTGGCTGGCTTCTGGAGAGGGAGGTTCTGGGGGGACGGGGCCCTCCTGGGGGCATTCCGGTGGGAGCGGCCACCCGCTTTCACCCAGCCCTGTGGTTGGATGTGTGCCGGGAGCTTCCCGCTCAGCCCGCGCCACGCTCCAGCGGCGCCTCTGACGCTCCACTCTGGTCTTGCCCTGCAGACATGGAGGTGAAGCAGCTGGACAAGCGGGCCTCTGGCCAGAGCTTCGAGGTCATCCTCAAGTCCCCTTCCGACCTGTCCCCGGAGAGCCCTATGCTCTCCTCCCCACCCAAGAAGAAGGACGCCTCCCTGGAGGAGCTGCAAAAGCGGCTGGAGGCAGCTGAGGAGCGGAGGAAGGCAAGGAGTCCTTCCCCCACCCCTCCGCGTTCCGACGGAGGAGGCCATGGGCACAGGGCCTGCAAGAGCAGCGTGCTCCGGCCGGGCTTGGCCAGAGGCTCGGCCTGGGGCGGGAGGGGCTGGCTCCCTCAGCCTCTTCCTGAGAGAGAAGCATGGGATGGGGAGAGGCTGGGCGCGGTGACTCACACCTGTAATCCCAGCACTTTGGGAGGCTGAGGCAGGTGGATCATGAGGTCGGGACTTTGAGGCCAGCCTAACCAACATGGTGAAACCCAGTCTCTACTAAAAATACAACAATTAGATGGGCGTGGTGGCGCGTGCCTGTAATCCCATCTACCAGGGAGGCCGAGGCAGGGGAATTGCTTAAACCCAGGAGGCGGAGGACGCAGTGAGCTGAGATCGCGCGCTGCACTCCAGCCTGGGCCAGGACCGCGGGAGCGCGGGAGCGCGTGCGGGGGCAGCGGAGGGTGGGGCAGCGGAGGGAGGGGCAGCGGAGGGTGGGGCAGCGGAGGGAGGGGCAGCGGAGGGTGGGGCAGCGGAGGGTGGGGCAGCGGAGGGAGGGGCAGCGGAGGGAGGGGCAGCGGAGGGTGGGGCAGCGGAGGGTGGGGCAGCGGAGGGTGGGGCAGCGGAGGGTGGGGCAGCGGAGGGAGGGGCAGCGGAGGGAGGGGCAGCGGAGGGAGGGGCAGCGGAGGGTGGGGCAGCGGAGGGTGGGGCAGCGGAGGGTGGGGCAGCGGAGGGAGGGGCAGCGGAGGGAGGGGCAGCGGAGGGTGGGGCAGCGGAGGGTGGGGCAGCGGAGGGAGGGGCAGCGGAGGGGGCGGGGCCGGTGGGGGCGGGGCGGGGCCGAGGAGGGCGGGGCAGGCCCTGGGCAGCGGAGCGGGACCCTCTGGCCGGGCGCAGTCCACAGGCCGGATGGCGAGCGAGGGTTCCCAGGACAGCGCCCGGGTGTGGGTAGGTGGAGGCGCCAGGTGAGGCGGGCGGGCTCTAGGCTGGAGGCGGAGAGCAGGGAGGCGGGAGGCGGGAGGCGGGCCGGGCAGGGCCCGGGGTCCCCGCTCACGCGCGCCCGCCTGCCCTGCACAGACGCAGGAGGCGCAGGTGCTGAAGCAGCTGGCGGAGCGGCGCGAGCACGAGCGCGAGGTGCTGCACAAGGCGCTGGAGGAGAACAACAACTTCAGCCGCCAGGCGGAGGAGAAGCTCAACTACAAGATGGAACTCAGCAAGGAGATCCGCGAGGCGCACCTGGCCGCACTGCGCGAGCGGCTGCGCGAGAAGGTGCGGGGCGCGGCGGGGTTCGGAGCGGACAGGGGGCGGGGCGGAGCTCGGGGAGGCGGGGCTCGGAGCGGACAGGGGGCGGGGCGGAGCTCGGAGGGGCGGGGCGGAGCGCGGGGAGGCGGGGCTCGGGGCGGACAGAGGGCGGGGCGGAACTCCGAGAGGCGTGGTTCGGAGCGGACAGGGGGCGGTGCGGTGCCCAGAGAGGCGGGGTTCGGAGCGAACAGAGGGCGGGGCGGAACTCCGAGAGGCGTGGTTCGGAGCGGACAGGGGGCGGGGCGGTGCCCGGAGAGGCGGGGTTCGGAGCGCACAGGGGGCGCGGCGGAGCTCGGAGGGGCGGGGCGGAGCTCGGAGAGGCGGGGTTCGGTGCGGACAGGGGGCGGGGCGGTGCCCGGAGAGGCGGGGTTCGGAGCGCACAGGGGGCGCGGCGGAGCTCGGAGGGGCGGGGCGGAGCTCGGAGAGGCGGGGTTCGGAGCGGACAGGGGGCGGGGCGGAGCTCGCAGGGGCGGGGCGGATCCCGGAGAGGCGGGGTTCGGAGCGCTCAGGGGGCGCGGCGGAGCTCGGAGGGGCGGGGTGGAGCGCGGAGAGGCGGGGTTCGGAGCGGACGGGGGTGGGGCGCAGCTTGTGGGGCGGGGTTCGCAGCTGACAGAGGGCGGGGCTGAACTCGGAGAGGCTAGGCGGAGCTCCGAGGGGCGTGGCTCTGAGCGGACGGGGGCGGGGCGGGGCTAGTAGCAAACAGGGGTGGGGCACTGGGCCCGACGGAGCTCGGAGGGGCGCGGAGCACGGCCCGGGACCCTGAGGCGATGCGCTGGGTTGGGGTTCGGGGGCCCATCGCGTGCTTACTGGGCGTCTCTAGCCGCATTCGAAGCACGCCCAGGGTCCGGGCCGCAGTACCAGATGGGTGAAATTCATGAAGCCGGAAGTGCTCTAGAGGAGGCTCGGCCCGGGCCAGTTCCCCGGATCCCGTCTTGGGCCCCGGCCCGGCTCTCGGCCTCCCGGGCGCTCCCGCACCCTCGACTGTGGGTCTTGCCGGAGCCGCCCCAGCCACCCGCCCCTGTCCCGCAGGAGCTGCACGCCGCCGAGGTGCGCAGGAACAAGGAGCAGCGGGAGGAGATGTCGGGCTAAGGATCCCCACGCGCGGCGCCCGGGTCCTGCGACAGAACACGTCGGTTTTGGTTTTGTTTCGTTCACCTCTGTCTAGATGCAACTTTTGTTCCTGCGTCCCCCACCCCCACCCCCGTCCCAGCTTCACGCTTCTCTTCCGCACTCAGCCGCCCGCCTTGTCCTCGTGATGAGTCGCTGACCACGGCTTGCCCTGCAGGAGCCGCCGGCCGTGAGACGCTGCCTCTCCGTGCAGACACCAGGCCGGTCGCCGCTGGGTCCCCCGGGGGCTCCGTGGCAGATGTGGTGGTGACCGTGGTCAACCCAGGGCGTGGGATCGCGGGTCCTTGCCCTGGGCTGTCTGGTCAGCATGTGCAGGTCAGGGCAGGTCCTCTGAGCCAGCGCCCCTGGCCAACAGGCGAGGCTACAGCACCTGCCGTCTTTCCATGGGGGAGGGGTGGTGGGGAGGGAGTGATGGTGCCTGGGAGCCTGCGTGGGCAGTGGAGCGTGTGGAACTGGCAGGTGGGTGGGTGGGGGCTGCAGTTCTCCTTAAGTGGTTGTACGGGGGGTGGGGGGGTCCTCTGAGTCCTGGCCTGAGGTGGACACCCCAGGCCTTCCTGGAAGCCTGCACTGGGGGCCCCGCCTGAGTCTGCTGGGGAGTGGGCATTCTCTGCCAGGGACCCATGAGCAGGCTGCCATGGTCTAGAGGGTTGTGGGCAGCATGGGCAGTCACCCACTCAGAAGTGCAAGAGTTCCAGAGAGCCCCTGGTCCAGGAACCTGTATGGAACAGCCCCTCCCCTCCCCACCAGGGCTTTGCAGATGCCTTTGAAAGACCCCTCCTTAGAGCCCTTTGGAGTGCAGCTCCCTCCCATGCCCTCTGCCCTAGTAGACACCGCTCCTGGCCATGGGGCTTTTAGGCTCTCCTTAGGTCACGGGGAAGTGGCAGCCACAAGTCCTCCTCAGGGAGCCCCAAGGGGGATTTTGTGGGACCACTGCCCACAGATCCAGGCATTGGAAGAGCAGTGGGTGAGATTCCTCAGCCACCCCCCCACCCTCCCCACTCAGCACCCAGAGCACGTTGGGGCTTGAGGCCTGGCTCTAGGCCTCTCCTAGCCATGCCTTCTGGGCTGGGTTCCTTCTCTCCCTTGGATGCCCAGTGCTGACCTTGGAGGATGGTCAGCTGGAGGACCGGGGTGGGGGGGGCTGTCTTTTGTCACTGTAGTATCCCCCACTTCTCCACGGAAGCCTCATCCCAAAGCTGCTGCCCGGCCACTTGCCATAAAATGTGAAGGGGCAGCTGAGTTATCTTAGGACCCAGAGCCAGGGCCCTCAGCTTCCATCCTGCGGGAGGCCTTGGCCGGGGCACTGCCAGCCTTCCAGGCCCACACTAGGGAGCATGGGAGGATCCTGACCCCTGCAGGGCTCAGGGGTCAGCAGGGACCCATTGTCCCATCTCCCTCTCCCCACTGAGACAGCCACAGAGGGAGCAGCCAGCGGGGTGGGAACCTACGGCTGCCCACATGTGGCTTTTGTGGGACTCAGAAAGGGAAGCGGAACTGAGGGCTGGGATTCTCCTTACAGTGGCAGCTCTCATAGCGAAAGCCTAGTGTAATATGCACCCATCTCATCCACGTAGTAAAGTGAACTTAAAAATTAAATCAAATGTACAATTAAATAAAAAAAACCTGTGTGTTTAAGACCGGGTCGAACTGTCTGCGTGTGTCCTGCGTCTGTGGGGCCGAGGAGGGGCTGCGGGCTCCCTGTCTGGGAGTGAGTTTCTGCTCTGTAACTCCAGACTGAAGCTGCTTGCAAATCTTATTTTATCACCATGATTTTGAATTGTTCTAGTGACAATGGTGATTCTAAGATGTAAGCATGTAAACCACACACAAGTCCACTTGCCTCTCTGGAATCCAAGGGGTGAGTTGGCGGGGTGGGGTGGAGCAGGGCCCTCTGCTGTGGGTGGGGCCGCCTGAGACCTCCTTGCCCTCCCTCAGGACTGAGCCCTCCTCTGGAGCTTCCTGTTGTTCAGGACTCTGTGGCCCAGACGCTGCCCAGGAGGAAAGGGCAGGGCCTCCTGCGTCTGCTCTGAGGCTGGAGCCTCAAGGCTGTGGACTTCCTGACACGGGGTGGCTGCTGCTACGACACCCCTGGAGCTGCACCCCACTGTTCTGTGGACTCACCCCATTCACTCCCTTCTCTCCTGGACGGGAAGAATACATTCTGGGCTGGGCTCCAAGGCTCACACCTATAATCCCAGCACTTTGGGACGCCAAGGTCAGGAGTTTGAGACCAGCCTGACCAATACGGTGAAACCCCATCTCTACTAAAAATATAAAACTAGCCGTGTGTGGTGGCGTGTGCCCGTAGTCCCAGCTACTCTGGAGGCTGAGGCAGGAGAATCTCTGGAACATGGGAGGCAAAGGCTGCAGTGAGCTGAGATTGTGCCATTGCACTCCAGCCTGGGTGACAGAGTGAGACTCTGACTGGTGGTGGACATGCCTGCCCCACCAAACAGCCAGGGGGCCCCCTGCCAGGAGTAAGGTATTTGTCGTGGATGTCTAAACTTTCTGTGCTGACGCTGTGCCCTGGAAGGTATCTGCTCCCCAGAGACCAAGAGACCCAGCTTCCCCCTCTCCCAAGGCAGTCCTGGTGGCATTCCTGGGCTTGAAGGAGCTCTTGCTTGTGGGTAACACCCCCCCACCATGGGCACCGAGGAAGGAGAACTGTCCAGACCCCAGGCACAACCAGTGCCTGAAGAATATCTTAGTTTATAGTGTTATTGCTCAGCTGTTTCCTTTATATAATCCTGCATATATAATCATATATTAGTTTATAGAATTAGTGCTTGAAGTATAACTTACAGTTTACATATATCTAGTTTATATAATCATACTTAATATTTATATCTGCTTAGTTCCATATAATCTTTCTATATAATCATACAGGTATTGTAGTCGGAGCTGTACTGACACATTCAGTGCTGATTTGTAGAATCCTCCTATATAACCATACAGTAGTTCGTAGTAGGAGGAATGCCTACAGCAGTCACAGAACAGAAGCAGCACATGGGAAAACAACCAGACCAGGACGAGAACCCAAGACACAGGCGGCGGTGGCCCTGCCTGAAAGGGCACACGCTGTATGGCAGGCTTGGAGCAGGAGCCTCTCCTCCCGATAAAGGAGCTGTAGCACCTTGCATCCAGTTCCTGTGGAAAGTCGGCCTGAGATCCTGGAAGTAACCGAGGGAGAAGAACCCTCTGGTGTGACCAGTCACGGCGGCCGGACACCCTGTCAGTCTTTTCTCGCTTCTGTGCTAGCTCAAATCATCCTCCCATAAATATCCTAAGAGAAGAGCACACGTCTGCCAGCTCCCACTGCACTGGCTTACGGTATCCTTCTATTAGAAACCCTTTGAAGTCTCCAGCCCCCAGATAAGAAGTGTTGCGCACGACACCTGCTGCACACAGCCCATCTCCTTGCCTCGGTGACCTAATGGGGGTGGACCCCTTTTCTGTACATGACTGTCTACTATTGCACATGACACAGCCACCTACTGCGCACAGCCCACCTCTCTGCCCAGGTGACATATGAGGTGGCCCCCTCACTTGTAACTCACGTGATTATGTATGCCCTGTCACTAAGCCTATAGATGATGACCTCACGCATGACCTTGCCCCCTGCTTGTACCCAATAAACACAGATGCTCTGTGGCATCTGGGGCCGCCGCTGCTCTCCACTCACAGGTGGTGTGGACCCCGAGTCCGGATGCTCTTCCCCAGTTCTGCAGTGTCCTCTTTACTGCTTGGATTCTGCACCTCAGCACAGCATAAGGGACACCCCATGACCCTGTGGGGCCTCCACAGCCCTACCCTTACTATCACCTCTCCTTCAGTCCAGGGAGAGGCGGGCAAGTCCGGACCTAGGACTCAGCTGGGGGAGACCCGGAGACGAGAACTCTGCAGGGCAGAAGAGCATAGCAGGGAGAAAAAGCAAAGACATTTGAAGAATTTTTATCCAGCACGCCTGTATCCTGGGCACACAGACACGTGGGCCCTGGCCTCCCACAGCCCAGGGGCCTGGCAAGGCACTGAGGGGCAGATGGAGTTTGTGACAGTCACGATGTGGAGCCTCTGGCATCAGATGGGGGCAGGGACTACTTCACAAACTGATCACTTTTCCACGAAGAAAAGGAAAGGCAGGCTCCTCCTGGGAGGCCAGACAGAGCTGTTTGGTGACCTGCTGCGCAGGAGGAACCACCGCTTAATTAACAACGAACACTGCCGGTCAGTTCCCGGAAGTCAGGAGGACAAAAGCTCCCGAAGTCAGGAGGACAAAAGCTGGGCGATTCTGGCTTGGTGTCCCTCATGACAAGGACATTGGCGGGGGCCCTGGCCATCTGAAGGCTGGCAGGGTCTGGGGCATCTCCTTCCGAGAAGGCTCCCTCCCGAGGCTGTAGGCAGGGGCTTCCATTCCTCACCACATGGATGATCCAGGGCTGCCTGAGTGCCCTGGAAACATGGAGCTGGATCCCCTAGAGCCAACGAATGGCGGGGGGGAGGGGGAGTGGGGGGACGGGGGGAGGAAAAAGCTGGTGTGGGGAGCCACGAAATTTCTGCTGTTAGAAGTGAGTCAGGCCGGGCGCGGTGGCTCAAGCCTGTAATCCCAGCACTTTGGGAGGCCGAGGCGGGTGGATCACGAGGTCGAGAGATCGAGACCATCCTGGTGAACACGGTGAAACCCCGTCTCTACTAAAAATACAAAAACTAGCTGGGCGCGGTGGCACGTGCCTGTAATCCCAGCTACTCAGGAGGCTGAGGCAGGAGAATTGCCTGAGCCCAGGAGGCGGAGGTTGCAGTGAGCCGAGATCGCGCCATTGCACTCCAGCCTGGGTAACAAGAGCGAAACTCCGTCTCAAAAAAAAAAAAAAAGAAGTGAGTCACTGGGAGGGCTCACGCTTCAGAGGGAGTTCGGCTGTGCCTTTGAGGTGAAGAATGTTAAAGAATTTGTGAACACATTTCTTATTTAGAGATGGAGTCTCGCTCTGTTGCCCAGGCTGGAGAGCAGTGGTGCAGTCTCAGCTCCCTGCAACCTCTGCCTCCTGGGTTTAAACAATTATCCTGCCTCAGTCTCCCAAGTAGCTGGAGTTACAGGTGTGAGCCACTGTGCCCAGCCTGTCCATGAACGTATTTTAAAACTACCTCAGACACTGTTTAGAGTGACTGCTATGATCCGAACATGTCCCCTCTGAAGTTTCTGTGTTGGAAACTTATCTGCAGCACAGCCCTGTTCTGCTCTACTAAAAGGGCTCCTGGGAGCAGGCTCTCTCTCTCCAACCACGTGAGGACATGGTGGTCAAGGCGCCATCGTGGATGCAGAGACCAGGCCCTGACCTGATGGCCTCTTGATCTTGGACTTCCCAGCGTCCAGAACTTTGAGGAAATAGATTACCCAGTTCTGTATAAATTACCCAGTCTGTGGTACTCTGTTATAGCAGCACGAAACAGGCCAAGATAGTGACCCTGCATGTTTGGACACAGCTGGTGCTTGCTAGGTGTCTGGGGCAGCAGTGGGTGCCCCCAAAACAGGGGTGTCCAGCGGAGCAGGTGAGGATGCGGCACGAGCAGAGTCCTGACTCAACCAGGCCCCCCTGCCTGCCGCGCACACGTCAGGTGGTCGAAGGCGCAGCTGTGCAGAAGTGAGCTCGGAAAAGCTGCTGCAAACCACAAGGGCTCTCCTTTTGCTGAAGGAAAACCATTTTCATGTTCCACAGTTGCTTAGTTTCCTGGCACTGCTGTAAGAAGTACCACAGATGAAGTGGCTTCAAACAACAGAAACTCAGCGGGTGCAGCGGCCACAGTTGTGATCCCAGCATTTTGTGAGGCCAAGGCGGGAGCATTGCTTGAGCCCAGGAGTTTGAGACCAGTCTGGGCAACATGGTGAAACCCCATCTCCACAAAAAATACAAATATTAGCCAGGCGTGGTGGCGCTCAGCTGTAGTCCCAGCCCCTCTGGAGGCTGAGGTGGGAGGGTCGTGTAAGCCCAGGAATTTGAGACTGTAGTGAGCCATGACTGCCACGGCAGTCCAGCCTGGGAGACACAGTGGGGCCGGTCTCAACAAACAATAAACTTGTACTTCTCGTCACTAAAACTTTGTGTGTATAGCATAGTTTATTATTTTCAAAACACTTTAAAATGTTTTTTAATCTTCATAATGTCCACTCCGGGAAAAACAGGATAGGCATTATTACACTAGCCTTTTTTTCTTGTTACAAATATAAGACATGTTCATTGAATCACTGCAAAACACAAGGATTACCGGGTGTGGTGGCTCAGGACTGCATTCCCAGCACTTTGGGAGGCCGAGGCAGGCGGATCACAAGGTCAGGAGTTTGAGACCAGCCTGACCAACATGGTGAAACCTCATTTCTACTAAAAATACAAAAAATTAGCCCAGCATGGTGGCACACAGCTGTAATCCCAGTTACTTGGGAGGCTGAGGCAGGAGAATCGCTTGAACCTGGGAGGCAGAGGTTGCAGTAGGCCAAAATTGTGCCACTGCACTCCAGCCTGGGTGACAGAGTGAGACTCCCATCTCAAAAAAAAAATCACAAAACAACAAAAAACAACCCCACAAGGAAAAGAGGCTGGGCACGGTGGCTGAGGCCTGTAATCTCAGCACTTTGGGAGGCCATGAGG